GCAATCACAGGAGAACATGCAAACTCCACACAGAAAGACCCACAATTTCTTACCATAAGGTCACCATTTGCCCAACAACTTCACAAAAGCTGGAGAATTTATTGCTGGACCATGTACTCTCATGTGCCAGTTAGGAGTAGAGAATTGGTTTTAGTTACAATGAAACCATTTCTCTTTTAACACATAAACAGTGTGGATGCTGAAGAGCTTCATCTGTCATGGAGGTGACCAATAACCCAATGGTCACTCTGACAAAGCTCCAGCATTGCTGTGTGGAGTATGGAGAACCTTTAAGAAGGACAATGACTTCTGCAGCTCTCTGCCAATTAGACCAGTATGGTGGTGTGGTGGCGCGAATGAGGGATAACCGGGGACGGTAACTAAGATGTTGACAACGTCACCTGGGGGAGGAAGTTACACCCCAGGAAAGATTCCTCTATCCAATGTAAGTGTTACTGCTACCAAAGCCCACAGACTCGTTATTAACAGTAGAGAGGAGACAGATGAATTTTACAAATCAAAATTTATTAAGAAGAACTACTAAAAGCATAGAATTGTAAAATCAGAAAGGTACCTAAGGTAGCAGGGTGGAGACGGCAGGATAGTTAATTAAAAACACTTTATTAACAACTGATGATTAAAATGACCAGACTCCCTCCCACAATGCTCTAAAACAATCACAGATTGATTAAAAAACAAACAAAACAATACTAAACAAAATAGTGGAGACCGGCCACTTGAGGAGGCAACCTACAGGGAGGAGTGCCCAAGGATGCTACCAGTTACTCACCCGTGTAACTCCACTGCAGACCTCACTGTCACTCACACTGAAGTCTAAATGGTGCAATCTACCTATGCCCACCTCACGTGCCTAGCCCCTCAACAAGCGGCCGCACCTCCACTAAAGCAATAAAACAAAGCATAAAACGTTAAACAAATTAGTAAAAGAGATCTACATAAAACAACTACACCCCAAGTTACTGTTCTTTATAAAAAGCATCACATAACAAACAAACAAACAGCATAAGACAAGACAGCAGCAGCATGGCGCAATCCACTCTCTAAAGGGCAATACTAAAATGTGTAGCTTTCCTGAGGAGATCTGCAGTGCTTCGCTGCCT